ACTTGTAGCAAGGTGCATCGCTAATTACTAGTAACAAGGGCACCGATACCAGTAGCAATGCCAGGAGCTACTGGTAGCGTCCGGTGGGGTCTAATAGAACCGGATTCCTTATAATGTTGATCTTAATTAGTCAGCACCCCCCCCTAGCAAACCTTTAAAAAAGAACACTGGGCGAACAAACTTGTTATTATTCCGATCCATTTTACTAATTAGGATGCGACATGATTCTGTCAGATGAAACTGGGCACTAAGCACTGTCCATACAGGTCATGTTGAGCTTAGACAGGTCAACTTCTAGGTTTGCAAAGGGGGAGGCCTCGGCAGACTGCTTTTGGATTACTCCTTGTTTTGGATTTACCCCTTCTCACAGGAAACACGGCCACACCAAGGGTAGCTTAAGCACACTAGAGCCCAAGCTGCACTTGCTTGGCATGGCATTGCAGATGATTGTCAAAATATCTCAGAGACAAATTGTGGTAGAGGAAATCCGCCACAACTCCAACTGCTTTCCATTTTTTGGTTGGTCGGACGAAGGGAGATGTGCACTTTCGACCGGCTTTTTGGTGCTGGAGGGCACCGGATGGCCAGGTATCCTGCTGTCCTTCTCTTCAATTGGTGTCTTGCAGCTGTACTTTCTGCAGCCCATGGTGACTTCGCAGCTACTGTCAGTGTACAACTGCCAGTCCACGGACGAAGGACCTTCGGCCTAAAGAGGTTCTTTTTGTTGTTTTTTTTGTGTTTCGTTCGCACACCGTTCACATTCATGGAACTGTGATCTATGTTCAGTTCCGCCTTCTCCCAGGAGGCGGTTTGCTTGACACTCCACGGTGGTCTCTGGATATGAGCGCCTCAGTCAGAAGCCACAAATTATGTCTAAAACATCACTTGATAGAGACCTGGACTCAATCTTGGAGTATATATATATATAGTATATATATTTCACCCTGCAAGGGGGAGGGCAGAGGTCTTAGACACTTGATTTTCAGAGATGGACTCGAAGATCAGGTGTTGATTGTTCATCGGCAGTGCATCAGCGTTGGCAGCTGGTCACAGCAGTGGGCTTGTTGCTGTGGTCCTTCGGTATACCTTTTCTCCTGCAGCTCGGACAAGGGGTGCACTCCTTGAAAAAGACAACAATACTTGTAGTTGACAAGGGGTTAGTAAGTACACAACACTGTAACTGTAGTTGACTGAGTTTGCAGCATTTGGCTTTTCAGTTGTTTTTGGCTGAGCTCAGCCGGTAAGACGTTGCAGAATCTGCCCACAAATATATACTACAGTAATGGAAAGCTTAAGCTCGAGCTAGATCTGTGCCGGAGTGGCCTTTTGTCCAGCAATGTCCTGCCTGCGAAGGTACCTGATTCCAAAGTTGCGCCTCGGTTGGGAATAAGTTGATCCGACAGTCAGTCATGTGAGCTTGGGCTTTTGGGCTTTCTTTCAGCATGCGACCCATTTTTGACACCAGGATTCTAAAGTGGACCTCGTATACTTTGCAGAGCAGGGAGATGTGGAATGTCTTTGGTTTCCTCTACGATGGCCGCTTGGATCCGTTTGGTGCGTCGAGTGGGGTCGTGTGTCGCGCTTCGGTCTCAGGATTTGAGCCCGACTTCTGGTACTACGAGTCGTGGATGATGTTGCAACTCGTTGGAGAACTTGAATTTATGATGAACTATGCCCAGGCGTTGACAGACCTGCAGCTCATATTTGCAGATTTGCCATGTGTTCCATGTCCTTCCCATGGGCTTCAGTAGGGCCCACTGAGGAGAAAGACTTACATTTTGATTGCTGCTAACATTTTTTGGTTGAGCCCGGAAACTCGCACCGTGGTGCTCTTGACATTGGTGATCTACTTCCGCTACATGCATCTAAGCTTCTCGGCCACCCTTTGGAATGTCCCACCCGTTGCCCCCAACGATCTTTGGCATGACAATTGAGGTACAAAAACTACTGTTTGCCGACCGGAAGTAACGAAGTCAATCATGAGCAAGAGGGAGTGCTTGCATGTGCTCCTGGGATTTCCTGGGTATGTTGCAGCTGAGGGGATCTACCTTATGACAATCGCGCCTACATGGGTGTGGACAAATTGCAGTTTCAATCCTTGGCCACATTTACGTGGATATTGCTTGGCCGATTATTTCGCACCACGCGCCTTGGAAAAGAAACGCAGTAAGAAAGCTCGTCTTGGGTGAACTATACCGAGTACCCATAATTGCGCAGTGTGAGGAGGCACCATCAACTCATCACCGCGTAAGGCTGCAGGCGACAGACAACGCAATTCCTGAAGAATATTCACCAATTTTCTATTTGCCAGCTGCCATCAACTTCCTCATTCTTGTGGGCAGCGCCTTGGCAAGCCACCAGCAGGAAAACATTCACAAAGCATCCTGGCACATGTAAGAGGCTGAAATGCATTGTTCAAAGTGATGTGCAGCAAATCAGTGACGTGAGGGAGGAGGGCGAGGGCCGCGAGGGCCGCCACCTCAGGAGCAACCTATCTCGTCATCCGGGACCTGATTTGGCCTTTGCAGAGTCCACCGACCCTGTCGCTTGGTCCAGTCGACAGTCGGGATGGTCGTTGCCACAATGTCGTGGATGCCACGGGGGGGTTGGTCGGCCTGCCGTTTGGAAGACCTGCAGGCTGCCACAGTGGTTGCGAAATCGATTGGATCATAGGGTGCCTTGGAAGTATTTTCAGGAGTGGTTTGGGCCTCCGCTCGCTCTCCCAAACCACCCTAAATAGCTCAGCTCAACTTATTTGTATTGACCAATGCGTAGACTCAGTGATGGGCGGGACTCCTGAAGCGTGGGTCTTGGAGAATTGGTGCAGGTCACCTTCTCTTTCATCCCGCCAGTGGGGACCTTAGTTGGTTCACTCGTTGGTTTTAGGATGGCTTGGTGAAGCACACAGCAACAGAGTTGGGGCCGCAAAGCTGTTGCCCCCGCTTGTGAGGCTGTTGTCGAGTCAGACCAGCGCCACCACTTTTTGAGAGCCTTGTCTTGATAGAGGGAACGCTGCATTGGACCGTGTGGCTACCCGTGAGTTTGGTGGTTGCACATTGCACACGTTTTGACCAATGACTGTTTCAGGGAAATCGTGGCAACGCAAGTCTGTACAGAATCAATGCCACCTCAGTCAGGTGTGGAACACGGAAGCCTTTCAGGGCAGCACATGAAAGAGCTGGCAGAAGACTGGAGTTTGACAACTTGTGCAGCCTTGCCCAATCAGGCGTGCTGTGAGTTGCACCATTTGCTTCACCGCAGAATGAAGCCCCCTAGGACGATGGACACTTAGTGGACACCCTGGAACCGCCCGAAAAAGACATGTGACGTGTGGCCTGGCCAGGAGCGCGAGATTTTGAAAACGATTCTGACGGAAACAGCTGAAGTCCTCCTGCGACGCCATGAGATTGTCCACGGGGAGGCTGGGACGGCTGGGAGCTGTGATGCTTTTGTGGTCAGAATTTGTTGTTTGGGAGTGTGTTTGCTTGTCGGACTATGTCAGCAGTAGTCGTTGCATGGCCTGGTTGGTTTTGTTTCTCTTGGATGCCTGGTTGCCTTGGAGGGCGCTCAAGTGATCTACTTGCAACCTGGCAGTGTGAAGACTTTCACTGCTGGTCACATACTGTAGCTTTGCACGCCCTCCATGATTGAACCTAAAGCTGTTCGAAAGAATGTACGACATGTGTTTCCTCAACATGTCCGCTTTGTATGTTTAAGACCCAGCAAGTTCTCCAACATGGGCCACTGTCAATTTTCAGGGTATGTGCAAGGCGGAGTGATACATTGCACGTGTTTGAATTTTGTTGAGCTAGAATGCACCGGGCAACGTGGGATGTAAGTTCACACATTTTGCACTCCTGCCGCTGCTCGGCTTAGCTCGGGGTAGAACGGCTCGGAAGATCCCATAGATGCGGTATCCCAGACCCACAGCCTCGGATTTGCTAAGGCCAACATTTCTCCTTCAAATGGAGCGGGTCATTGTCGCGGCCATGCTGCCCGGCAGTCCAACTTGTGAGTTGATGGCTTTAAGCAGTGATGTGGCGCGTTTTCGTTGTTTGGTTTGACATGTTGTTTCGGAATAAGGTGCTACGCAGTGAAATCCCGCATCATCAATGAAGAAGTGGTGACTTATCTACTGTTTTGGTGCATGTTATATATATAGTAGCGCTTCAGCTGTCACAGCAATCCCTACTGTGCACATCTTGCTTTCAAGACGAGTTCGGCCGAGTTCGACCCCGAGACGGTCGGAGGTGTTGAATCGAGATACTTGGGGCAAATGGATGTACGGGCTCTGGGAAGACTCGATGCCTGGATTGAACTTATTGAGATTCCATACAGGTGGTAAGGACGTTCTCCAAAACTCTCCATACATCGTGATGCATCCAAAAGAACATGATGTTCTGGACATATTTATGTAATTTATATATATATATATACTAAATGCTTATATCAAAGTATTGAGCATGTTTTGAACATCAGCCGTGGTTTGTGTGGGAGTTGGCAGTCCAAATAGATAACGAAAGGAGCCTCTTTCCTCGTTGGGCACTTTGAGGATCAGCTACCTGAAGCTGGTGGTGGTTGGACGGGACAGGTTTTGGCGTGCTGGGTGGACTCGGGGGGACTGTAGGCTCCAGGTCATGCGCACTTGGCTCTCTGTGAAGGATACAACATTTGTATGCGACAAGGATGACCTTGCAAAATACAGCAAGCATAGACGAGCCTCCTTCCCTTCCATGCTCAGTGTGAGATAGAGAAGAATCTAATAAGCAGCATGAGCAACCAACACAGCAAGAAGGACATACGGATACGGAGCAGAAACATCAAAAGAACAAGCAAAGACAGAGAACACAAATATGACCACAAATCAGAACAGCAGCCACAACAACACAAATTGGATCAAGTCAACTGAAATGCAATGAGCCGGAATGAGACGCGAACGATTGCAAGAATTGACATTTGTTGTTGCATGTTGTTGCCCTTTGCTTCAGAAATACCGAGGCGGACACATGTTTGTTGCATTGATACTTATATTAAATATATTAATACATGTCTTACAATTCAGTCATTACAAATCGACCAATGTTTTGACCCAATATGTATGAACTTGCGGGGATCAAGCAGTTTTTCCCACTTAGATGCTTTGTTCCAGTGGGGAGTTCTTCAAGGAAAGCAGCCAAGTGATTGAAGCAACCGCAGAGAGTCGGATGCCCTCGCCCCATCGGCAGGAGTCGGATGACCATAACAACATCATGCGCCAGCGTAGCAGCAGGCTTTCACATCAGAGGGCAATTGCCATGGCAATAGAAAGAGAAGGGCTCGGCAACAGCTAGGGATACCATCTGTGACACAGAATGCTTGGAACTTCTGTAAAGAATGACTGGGCATGAATCAATGAAGGCATGCTCGTCACTTTGTTCTAGCACGGTTGCCTCAGTATCAACCTTGTGTATGCTTTCCAGGTACGGTGCGGAGTTCTCACAGTCTTTCTACTTTGCAAATATGTTTGCGCGCCTTTTTCATCATGAAGCGTAAATTGGACGCGCCAGCGTCAACTGCCAGAAATATGTGTTAAAAGCTTCTTTCATGACTCTGAAATTAACATTTGCACTTGGACTCTGGGTGTATATAGCTGTAGTTATATTATTTAGCTTTATTGTCAAGGGAAAGAGATGCATTAGAGCTCGGAGGTGAGATGTGAATTGGGGAAAGATCAGGCCACACGATGCATCGGGAGGATCAGTCATCCGCCCACTTCGTCATGCGATCGCAGGTCCTGGGAGGATCAGGAATGCGATCATTTGCGTGAAGCCCAGCACCTTGTGAGACGCCCTGTGAGTACGGAGGACTCCGCTTGGGCTTTCAAATTCTGTCAAAATGCTGCCAGTACCGCACTGCCACGTGCCGCCACGTGCCACCGCAAATTCCAAATTTGCTGATTTGCCTTGCTAGCACAATTGATGCTAGAGGAGATCCAGATTGCCCTTTACAGTCTTTGGCCTGATCTAACGGATCCCAGCATCAACAAGAAGCACTCAGAGCCATGGTCAAATTATGCTCACTGAGACAAACATTTTGCTCTAGCATTTGCCCTTTCAGGATTCGTGCGATTCGTTTGTTTTAGCTCCTTTCATATATACATCATGGGTTGTGTGCGACAGTTTTGCACATTTTTGCACAATGGAGTGCTGACAGCAAGTCACGAGGCATGCACGTGGATGTGCCCTTCCCTGGTCAAAGCACCATTCAATTCACACCCCCATCTACAGCCACCCTACTAGTCACGCACCACCGAGGAGAAAAATCACTTGCGAGAGCTGGTGCATGCACACCGAGGGATTGTGGATATGCCTCTTGGGCGTCAAATGGCTCATTTGCATTGTTTGAGTCCAGCTTTGTGTTTGACGCTGACATCGCATCAGAGGCATGGAGAAGTGTCGCACATCTTCGATTCAGATGGGCACGCAAACTCCATTTTGAGGCATTTGGTCATGCCAGTAAGCAGTACGAGGGTTCTATGAAATTGGAAATTGGACAGCTAGTAGGTTGGAGGCCATCGCTTTTAGGTTGGAGTAGGTAAGGTTGCACCGTCAGTTCAAGGATGGATAGTCGAGAGTGGTTTTGGCACGACCACTCTGGGCCACGCAGGCGGAGAAATCGAACGGTCCGAAGCGATGACTCGGTATCAGTGTCACTTGGCCCCACTGTGGCGGAACAGATTGTGCCATGTCGTTTTAGACCCATGACCTGAGGACTTCTGGTTGTGCCAGCGATGCCACCCAGACCAATGAGTTTGATTTTGCAGAGGCCAATCTTGACATCAAACACCCCTAGGAGGCCTTACTACTACTGTAGGAGCAAGGACGCTACTAGTAGCTCCCGGTCATACTACTAGGCAAGAGGAATCAGCAAGAGAGCGACGCAAGCTGCACACTGGCTTTGTGTCGGAAAGAAGCGTCAGGAGAGCGACGGGTTCTTCCAGCGAGAGGTTGCTCACAACTTGCAACTACCTGTGCAGCATCGTCATCATCCATCGAAGCACTTGCCACCGTTGGTTGAAACTTCGGAGGACTCACGCAGCCGAGACGTGATTGCTGCCTGGCCAACATTCCACCTCCTTCAGTATGAAGCAATATGAAGCATTATATAACGTGTGGCACAAGCAATGACAGGAAAGGGAATTGATTTACTGTAGACTGTATGTTGACTGATTACTCCTGACGTAAAGCCAGGAAGCCTCAGGAAGCTGCTATTCATCATTTTTGCAGTTTTGTGCAAGCTACTTGTGATGGTTTTGAGTATGCAAGCTCAGCCATGATGTTTTGCGTTGACATGCAGTGAACACTCTGAAGCTTTCGAGGTTGACATGATGCTGAACCGATCAGCTGCGGATGGGTTCAAGCTGCAGCTCTGAATTCGCTTTGGAGCTAGGGTAATTTCCAAAGGAATCCCTAGCGTAAGATTGTCATCAAGGGTACCTGAGGCGAAGGCTTAGCATGCACCTGCCTTTGCCTTGGATTCTAATCACCAGCTCCTTTGGGGAGGGAGTTTGCTTGAAATGAACAATGTGCAGAAAGGCATAGATAAGCAATTTATTGCCGTGCAACACTTTCATTGCCACCTGAGTTGTTGTGGATTGGTGATGAGAGCCTCGAGAGTGCATACTCCAAGCCAGCACATTCTTAGTTGGCACAAGTCTCATGCCAAGACCCTAGATGTCCAACTGCGGAGAAGTGGAAAAACGCGGTTGCAGTGCGTCCGAGAGCTCATTTGTTTGCTTGGTGTTGCGTGTTTTTTCTTAATGTTGGTGTAAAATTGTAGAGAAGAGGCTCACATTTGCACATGGTCAGCAGGTGATACATCCTCGAACAAGCCTGTTAAGAAATATCTTCCAGACTCTGATTCACTGCGCTTGCGGCCAGTTCATGACGTTTGTGCAGACGGCACCGCCTGTTGTGCCGCGCTGAAGTGTCAATTTGCAAAACTGAGACCGGAAGTTCGTGCAACGTACTACTTAATTTATATAGGTGGTGGTGGTTTCAGAGATGTTTATATTCAAGTAATTGCTTGGAATGATTTGATTGAACCCACTGACTAGTATTTTTGACGCGTGCCCTGTTTAGGCGAGTTTTTCTATGATCATGCGCGTGCTCAACTCAGCTTTCACGTTCGCAAGGTGCCATTTTTCTTGTTTTCCTGGCACAAGGCTTGGACCGCCTTCATCACTGTGGCTCGTGCCCTTGCTTGTGGAACGATGACATCAATTAACAAGATGTTTGACGACTGTATGTTAAATGAAAAACATCAACAATGCTCGTGCTTTTTTTCAGCAGTTTGAGAACATGTGGTTGAATGCTTCTCATCACGCTTAAGATGCACGAGCATTCAGCTACATTCAGTGAGTTATACTTGCCGTGAACCTCACATCATGATACAACAACGTGCCCCTTGAGTAACACAGGAATTCAATTATTGGAGTGTAATGTTCATTGGTTTAAAGTGCCAAAAGCTGGGCAACAAAACCGTTGTTGACATCCAAAAGCAGCTTTTGCTCTAATTCATTTATGCTGCTGGGCACTGCTGGGCCTTTGCTGCCATCGCCATGGCTGCAGTCGCACACCACATTTGCTATTTGTGCACGCGGAAGTTTGCTGATGCTGGCGCTCTAAGTGCACATGCCTCTTGGCTCAGATTCCCAACGCTGCAAATGGCTGTGCTGCCAGTTTGCAGTTTTGGGTCAGCATGTGACAAGACATGAGCCACGGCCCTCGAAGTCAGGCTACAGTGCTTTTGAATGCCGGTCAGGAGCAGTATTCGCAGCTCCACAAGCAGAACTTAGATCGTCAAGATGACATCATCAGACAGCACCATCCTCAGAAAAAGTCAGGCTCACGGAGGCTGCTGGCAAGGCTCACGGAGAAAAACCACAAAACAAGTGACAGAGAACCATTTCCGAGGTTGATCAAGGTTTGAGTTTGAGACCTTAAAGCTTCCAAGTCACCAAATTGCCAAAGACAGGTGCAATTGTCATTTGAGCTCCGATCTAAGTCAAGTCGCCTAGAGCAAAAGTCCCTGCTCAATCTTCCACAACCATGTGGAAAAATGGCTGTGTGCGCTCCCCGCGTGCTGAGGCACAAGGATGAGGTGTTCGGCAGCGTTCATCGCCTGCGCCAGCAGCTACACGATGCAATGAACTCCTCAAACCCTGCCTGGATGCTCAGAGATGATACTTGTGGAATCTTGTGGATTCTGAACAGTGTACCCTGCAGAAATTGTATCTAAAACTGGACCTTAGAAAAGATATATACAGTAGATTAGCGTATGAAATACAGAGAGCACCTCAACCTGTGTTCATCTTTGCGTCACAGGGACGCACTAGCCTAGCATGATATTTTTCTCTAAGTGCATTTGAGTCAACTCGTCTTCAGGCTCCCGGAAGTAAGCTGTGGCTCATTTTGCCATTAATTCAGGGCTTCCAGCTCATAAGTTTGGGCCTTCATATCTCTTCCGTGTGGAACAATGAACGGGAAAGAAAATCACCAAGGAGGAAATCAAGGAAAGAAACGTTTGAAGAGAAAAGACGAAGAAACAAAGAACAAAAGAAACACTGAAAATATGGCACTCTTCATGTATCCAGCTGTTCTGACTGAGGTCACAAGCAGCCGCGCTGGAGCGATCGAAAGCCAACTCCGTCAACAGCTCGGGGAGTTCAGTCAGGCGGTGACTACTCGTCGAATGGTGTCCTGATGTGTGCAGATCACAAGCTCAAAAATGGTTTCCTACTAGCGATGGCCTCCACCCTACTAGCTAAAGGAACCTAATAGCAATGGCCTCCAACCTACTAGCAATGACCTCCACCCAAATAGCATAGGTTTCCTACAATTACAAGACCATCCAGTCAAACTGAGCAAGCAAAGACAAATTAGAAGCGGCTCCAGCCATGCCATGTGGAGGCATGGCAGTGGAAAGGGAATACAATTAATGTTGTACAAGCCACATGGCTTCATCAAAGGGGCAAATGCCTCGCACTATGTGTTTGGCATGGTTTGCGGGGTTTGTTTGTAGGGATGTCTTTGAGCGTAGCCAGACAGAGAGAGAGGGAGAGAGGCGAAGACCCAATATCGTAGGCCATCCTGAATATCGATACTCAAAGCAGCCTAGACCCCCTGACAACATGCCACACTGCACATGGGACACAATATCACAAGAGGCCCATGCCGGCCCATGCCCATACAACATCCGCTCTGGATATGTGAAAGCGCTTCCAAGCCATCTGTCCGCTGGCACTCTTGTCGCAGGCACAGGAGGCCATTGAATACCGTCGGGCAGGTTCCGATCCTGCGAAGCAGCTCCGAAATGCGCAGGTGCTAAGCCACACGTGGAGACTAATTGCGAATGCCACACTGCTACACCATTTTGGATTGCTTTTGGGGTTTGTTTGCCCTTTCCTGAGGCCGGAACCTTACGCCCGACCTGGCAAGAGATGCGATGTGGGCATCTAACACTAGAGGCAGGTGCTGCATCTTGGAGGCAGGTGCAGCAGGGCCTCAGGCCACGCTCTTTTCTGGCACTCTGGCACTCGTGGAGCGAAGCCACCAAGGCATGCTGGCAGGGGGGGAAAGAAACCAACGAGGATCGATTTGTTCTTAATATTGAATCTTGGCTGCACTCAAAGACCTTTTTGACTATTGCTGACGGTCATGTCCAAGAGGACACACGTTTCCCACTTGAGAATGTAGAATGTGGAGATGTTTGGAAGTTGATCCAACTCAAGACGAATGGTTGTTGATGTGGTGAGACTCAAGTGTTGGACTTGGTTTGTCCGATTCTCCCAAAACGCGAAAGACGGACAGTGCTGCCACATCAGTGTGGTGTTTGGTATTAGCTGTGAGGTGTTGCTAGGCATTTGGTGAATGCTACCAACAATGGATTCGCTGAAGTGCCTGCTTATACAGAATGATACACAGTTGTTGTTCGGTTGCTGTTGTTCGAAGCGAAGCGTGGAGCTCCTAGCGTGCTTAGGAGCTCCTATCGTCGGATGGGCTCAGCATCCCTGGAATCATGGTGCTTGATGGGCATTCTGGTTCACGCTGCGTGGATCATTTGACAGAAAGGCGCTTCACGCGGCGTTTTCGGCGATGGCATATTCTTGTTCAGCAGGTTATGGAAGAAATCATTCTTCATTTTTCCATGCTTGTGGAACTTTCCGAGCAAGACTATTTGCAATCAGCAGATGCCCCCTAAGTTGGAATTCGACCGTTTTGGTGTTGTAAGGTTGCCGGCTGTGCTTCAAGCGCGGCTTGCCAGTAAGATAGGGTTGACAGACGAGAATTTGAGAGAAGCGGTGGTTGAAGCTTGTGCCATGGTTGACGAGGAGTTGCTTGGCAAAGGCAACAACTACTGTATAGATTCTTAGATTATTTATATTATGTGTATAGTAATATGTGAGAATAGTATATATATATATATTTGTTTATTGTATATGTATATATATATATTACATTTGGCCAGTAAACTGGCACATGAGGCGGGAAGATGAAGATGTTGGATGTATATTGAATGGACATCGCTGAAGTACATAAGCACGCACGGGCGGTTTTGACATTCTTTCCTCCCGGAATCGCAATGTCCTGGCCATTCCTGGCCTAGGTTTCTGACGTGGGCAAGACAGCAAGAGGCAATGGATGGATCTACTCTTCTCTTGGCCTTGCTCTACGAATTGGCTAGCCAACCTGGTCGGACCAGGTCAGGCTGTCTTGTGAGCAGCTGACATGCCAGCGACATGCAGATTTGGACCATAAAAAACAGCACTCCTTTTCCGGGTCAGACAGCTCTAACAACTTGGTTTCGTTTCGTGTTTGGTTCCCCTGCGAGAGGTTGCTGGTGGCCAATGTCGGTGATTCTCGTGCCATTCTTTGCCGAGCTACTGGAAATGCAAATGCACAAGGATCCTTGCAGGTCTTCCGTCTCTCCGAGGAGGGGAAGCTTGTGCTGGTCTCATTGTTGAACTTCCAGGTTCAACCTCGGGGGAAGGTTGGACACCTTTGCTCAATCTGGGTGCCAGAAAGAAATCTGACATGTATCTGTATATGGTATGCACACGTGCTTTTTGTTCAGTCGGATGATGTTCCTATTTTTTGGAGGGGTCATTGTTGCAGCAGCCAGTGCACTCGTTGTTGTTGGCTATCACAGTTATTACAATTACAAATCAAGGTCATACCATCAGACCATGTCATGCCGAGTCCGCCGAGTCATACCTATTTTGGCTATAGCAGATAGAGCCTCCAAATGGATGTCATATGATATATGACATATGATTAAAGATGGGCACGCTCAATGATTAAGGGAACAAAAAGCTGCCAGTAACAAAGGGCATCGCTACTAGGAGCAAGGACGCTACTAGTAACTCCTGGCGTTACTACTAGGAACAAGGACGCTACTACTTTGGGCAACCCCTTCAACTGTGCAGCTCCATGCGTGGCGAGCCCCTGGTCCTCGCCACGCTCAACCCACCGAGAGGACCACAAGCCCAACCGAGAGGATGAGCGACAGCGCATCGAATCTCTCGGTGGAATGGTCGATCTCCATGGAGTTTGGCGGGTCTTTTGTCCTGAGCAAGTTTTTTTTGGAGGCGGGTGTTTGTCCTGAGCCACTTGAAGCTTGCATGGGCGTCGGCTGTTCTCAGTTGGCACCACTGGACAGCAGCTGTTGCTTGTCAAATGGCCTTGTCCCTCTAGCCCACCGGCCTTTTTACGTTTATGTGGGGCAGTTGGAGGCATTAATGTCAGTTCCTGCAGTTCCTGCCAACATATTAGTTATGTCATGTCAATAATGTCTTCTAGTAGCACTGCACCTCAACAAGAAGGCACTTTGGCCTGCGATGTCTCGATGCCTGTGTCTTCAGGCCGTGCCATCCCACGCTGGGGCTTGGCGGTGTCACGCTCTTTCGGGGATTTGCTGTTGAAGGAGCCTCAAAGATATGGATGCACCAAGGCGAAGCACATCTTTTGTCATTGTTGCTGGTAGTTTTACATGTGGCACATGTTCGACGACGTGGTCACGTGGTCTCATAGAACGTGTTAACTCCGTGCTGTTTGTTTGCTGGTAGATCGCTCTTCAGCCCACAGGTGTTGCCTGGTCAGCTGGTATCAGCTGAGCCCGAACTGCGTTTGGTGGAACTGGATCCGTCCCTGGATCGCTTCGTCGTGCTCGCTTGCGATGGCATTTGGGATGTTCTGCAGGCCTGGCAAGAGGCGAAGAAAAATGAGAGAGCTAGACTCTTCACAGAGATCGAGAGAGAGGGAGAGATCTTGTTCACCTGTGAGATTGGGGGGTAGAGGACGCTACTAGGAGCAAAGGGCATCGCTACTAGGAGTAAGGACGCTACTAGGGGTTCCTGGCCTTACTGCTAGGAGCAAGGACGCATGTGGGGCCCCATGAGAGTCTTCATGTTGCCAGTCAGTCCTGTCACCAATTTTGTTAGATACCCGGCGACCTGCCAAAAACAGGATCAGGATGCGGCAGCTGTTTGCGCTGGACAGGCCGGAGTTGAGCTGGCTGCACATTGCTTGGCTACTTGGCTGGACAGTCACCGTTGTGCATCATTGTTCCTGCAGAGACAGGAGCTCGTCAACCGTGGCTGGCCAAGGTAAAGCACGCCTTCGCTGCTGGATCAGGGGACAACCTCACGGCTGTTGTCCTGGCATGGCGTGTGAACAGCTGAAAATTGCATTCGCTGATCCGCGCTTGGCTGATGAAATCACGAAAGCTAGCATCAGCTAGCTGGAGTTGCTCTTGCTTTAGCAAGTCAAGGGCTCGCAGCCTCGAGAATCATGAATCACGTGAAAACTTCACGTGTAGGGGGCCCCCCGCCCCCCCCCCCCTGAAAAGTAGAGCCTACCTGTACAGGGTTCCACTCCAACAGCCGATATAGTGTGTCCATACTTGACTGCTTCAAGGCTCAAAGAGCAAGAGGATAAGACTCTGCGCATTAAAAAAACTAGCGGTCTGCACCTCTACCGTGTACGCCCTAGTCACTCTTTCAGTGGTAGCGGAGCAGTGATCCTGGAAGACCCAGGTGAGCTCCTTTCCTAGGCATAGACTTGCTAGTGGGCAAACAGCCATGGATTGGATAGACGTCTGGGAAGAGCCTGATGCGGATGTGGCTTATGAGCCAGCAGCCTATGTGAATAGGCATGTGAGAAGAGAACCAGCAGCAATAGCAATGACAACACAGGTCACTACAAAGGTGCCCCCATCTTATGATGGAAAGACTTCATGGTTTTCCTATGAGGATGCCATAGACGATTGGTGTGATATCACCGAGCTGGAAGATGAGAAGAGAGGACCAGCATTGAGAAACAGATTAGAAGGAGAAGCAGCTGTATACAAGCGTGTTTTAGACAGAGATGCATTGAAGGCAAATGATCCACCAGGAGCCGGCGTAGAATATTTCAAACGAGTACTACGACCATATTTCGTGAAAGGATCAACCAATGTATTCCTGTAAAGATTTATGCAATTCGTGCGCTTCAATCGAGGATCAGCTGACATGATGAAATGGATGACAAGATTCCAGATTTTACTCCAAAGGCTTATGAGCAGTTGGATGGACATGTTAGAACCAGCCACTCAAGCACATCCACAGGTCCTAGCTCAGATGCAGGCAGATGCAGCGTTGACTGGAGTAGCACCAACGGCAGAAAGGATTCAGGAAATCATGCAGACCATCAATGGCAATATGAGGACTTTTCATCAGAACGAATTTCCTCTAGGAGAAAATCTCATTGCCTTACTCATGCTGTCACTTGCAGATTTGTCTCAGGACCAGCGAAACACTTTGACTTCTTTGATGACTCATCGTGGCAGGGTCCTGCAGCAATACACTACAACAGAGCTGAGGACAGTTTTCATTGAGATGTTCTGCACGACAAAGACTTCAGTAGACAATCCTTTGATGCAGCCGACAGGTGCTGGAGGTAGAAGATCATTCCTCGTGATGGAAGAAGGAGAACTCGATGGTACATTTGGCTATTGGGCCGAAGATGAAGAAGATGGAACAGAAGGATTTTTAGATGCCCTGGACGATGTCTTTTGGGTATATGATGATCAAAACTTCTCGTGGTTCCAAAGGAGATTCCAAGGAAGAAGAGCCAGAAAAGGAAAAGGAAGAAGAAAAGGAAAAGGTAAAGGAAGATCAGGCCGCAGATTCTTCAGACCTCGTGGAAAAGGAAAAGGAAAGAGACGAGGTAAAGGCCATTTTGCTGATGAGCAACAGACAACTTTTCCAGATGAATACTTTGAAGAGAATCCTTATGAGGACACTTGGGAGTCAAACCAAGGAGCATATGATGCCATTCTTGCCGAAGATATGAATGACTATCTTCAAGGAGAATATGATGATGCCAATGACTTTTGGCAACAGCTTGAAGAAGCATGGTTTTCCCACAAGGGAAAAGGAAAAGGCAAGAGAAAAGGCAAGAAAGGAAAAGGAAAAGATAAAGGAGATGGCAAACAAGATGCAAACTATGCAAATCAACAACAGCCACGTTCTTTGCCTGCACCTTCAAGATCTTCACAAGCATCAGGAGGTCAACAAGGTTTCTTTGCGCATTGTGTGACAGCAGCAGCTGAAGTCTATGACAGTGAGGTGAACTTGCTGTCAGGCATGATGACCTCATGTCAAGATGAAGCTGACTGCGCGGTCAACAATGGTGAGACGATCTTCAATGGCATGAGTGCCCCTGTGAGGTACTCTTTGTCAAAGGAGATGCTCACAAAGGCTCCTGATGGCTTTGCGCTTATGAGCGCTGAGGAAGAAGTGAAGGAGATGCAGGCCATTTCATTTTTGACTGAGAATGGCTTCCCGCCGACTATTGCAATCCTGGACATTGGATGCACTAGAGCTATGGGATCAAGGCGAGCAGTCGACCATTTTTGCAACTATGTCGAAAATCACCCAGATTGTGGATTATGGTACTCTTTTGAGGCTACCAAGAGCAAGTTTTACTTTGCCAATTCCCAGAAGGCTACTTGCTCTCAGAAACTGGTGATTTACATGTATGATCGCGCATGGACGATCCACCATACAGAGTTCGACATAGTGGAAGAAGGAGAAGTCCCTTTGCTTATGAGCTTGCCACAGATGAGGAACTTAGGCTTTGAACTCAGGCTGACACCTCAACATGCTTATCTGACATCGGTGCCTCTTGGTATCAAATATTTGGAGTTGAAGGTTGCAGCCAGTACTCATCTTGTCTTGGACTTCCAAGATATTGCATGGTATCTGTCTGACGTGAATTTGCAGACTCGGCGCGAGAAGAGTTTTTACTCTCACTTCACTCACTATGAATATGGTCATATTTCTGTTGATCACAATAGTGATGAAGATGTAGCTGAACATGCATATCCTGTGGTTGACTACTGGGAAGTAGATGTTCACAAGAGAGAACTGATACGTCACCACAAGGATTATAGAAAGATTCTTTTTCCAGCAACTAAGTCCTGTCCTGTAGACACTGACTTACTGGAAGACTTGCGACTGACAATCATCAAGAAGAAGAAAAGAGGAGAAGAAATCAAGAAGCTAGATGATTGGCGCAAGGCAAAATGGAAGGACCTGCAAATTGGCTATGAATGGCGTGGTAGAACAATTTTTAAGTTCAAACCAGATGCCAAAATTCCAGATCTAAAGATCAGGAAGGCTGGCATTGAGCACCGTGGCATTGGTGATCCCGATGCAGTGGTGCGCTCCTCCTCAGAGAAGGTTCCCATTGCAAAGGACAGGGAACCAGGCTTCTCGTCAGAGAAGGAAGGTGCACCATCAAGTGCCGCGGAAAAGCCCGTGCCGCCAAAGTTTCGGTATACTTCCAAGGGTTTTGATCCATTTTGGAAGGGACACAAGTCGAAACCATCTGAGCCTCAGAATGATTTAAAGGGTGATGATCTTGAGGAGTATGCTCCCTCAGAACCACCTGAGAGGCCAGAAGGTGAACTTGTAGAAATTCCTAAAGCATCGAAAGGACCATCAAGTGATAAACATGAACCACTTGAACCAGGTGATGGCGCTCTTGAGCCTAGGCGGATTTCAATCCCATTACCTGGTAGTGAAGTTGTTGCAATGACACCGGCATATAGGAAGATGTTGCAGAGACTGGAGGACAAGGTAGAGCTTTATAAGCTTCATGTGAAGCACTACCATATGAGTCCTACTCAGTTTCGTAGACGTGTTTCTATGTTGAAGCTTCCTGACTCTGTTTTAGAGAAGTATGAATCAGTTGTCAGGAACTGCCGTGTTTGTAACACTTCAGTGGCACCTCCGCCACGAGCCAGAGTCTCCGGTATTAGAGCTTCATGTTTTGGTGATGTTGTTTTTGCTGATCATTGTGAGGTTGAACTTCACAAGAACAAGTATATCATCTTACTTGTTCTTGATGGTGCCACAAATCTTCTCTGGGCTACGGCACAGAAAGACCTCATAGATCAAACCACCATCCAAGCATTGAGGCAATGGTCTGATGAGAACAACTGTGTTCCAAAGGCCATCGTAGGAGACGAAGCCTTTTTCACCGATGCTTTTGTTGAATACTACAGGTTCCATGGTATACAACAATGTCCTTGTGGGCCAAGAACTCCTTGGCCGAACCGAGCAGAGACAGCTGTACGTTTGTTCAAACGTATGTGGCATGTTATGAAAGTAGATCTGGATGACCCACGTTTTCGTGGTGTTACGGTCAGAGAAGTGGTCAAGAAGGTAGTTTGGGCAAGAAATTGTCAGTTGACTATCAGTGGATATTCACCAATAGAGATAGCAACTGGAAGACGTCCACCAGATCTTTTTGACCTTGAGACCGCAAGCCCTGAGCAATTGTCAGCTAATGCCGCCGCACAAGATCGTACAAATTTGGAACTACAACGTGTGGCTTTGAGAGCTCATCAAGAAGCACGACAAGCTCAGGACCTTCGAGCAGATCTTGCAAGAAGGACTATGCCAAGTGACGGTCCTTATTTCCAAGGAGAGAAGGTTTTTGTTTGGACTCAGGATTCATCAAAGTTCAAGGATAAAGGACGTTGGGTTCGTGCCACAGTACTTGGACAAGAAGGAGCTATGGTCCAAGCCAATACTGGTAAGGCAGTGATACGTGTGAATCAGTCAAAGGTTAGACGCGATCACGATGAGTGGCATGATGTTTCCATACCGGCATTAGAATCCGGAGAACTTACGTGAAGATCACGAACTGTATGTTGATGCCGAATTTGGAGAACAGTCCTTTTTCTTCTGTAATGATGATCATCCTGATGTTGTTGAGTTACTTCATGGAAACAGTGGATTATCTTTTTTCCTTTCAAAGAATGGTGTTAAAGTTGCATCTCCTATGGATTTCAAGGCAGGATACAACTTTTCCACTATGAAGGGTCAAGATGGTATTTGGCAGCAACTGGAGAGATTGCAGCCCCACCGTATAGTGATCAACAACCCTTCTCCCAAACAGAACAGAGCTTCTATTTGGTTGCTATGTTGTAATGTGATTGAGTGGCAGTTGAGAAGGAAGAAACATGTGTTTGTGACTGTTCCCAAAGGAAACAAGTTTTGTTTATTTTTGCAGAAGTTCATTTCTTCGTTGAAGGATCCGGTTTTTAACTTTGATGTGAATATGAATTGTTTTTGTTATTGTCCGAAGGGAATGAGTTACGTGACAGTCTTCCATTCCTATGCATCCTGCC